TATAGAATTGATTTTGATATATATGAAATATCGGTGGATCCACACCGATATTTTTTAGTTAATTAGAAGTCAAAACAGCATGATTAAGGAGTCCAGTTTCAGCATAATCTTTTATTTTACTAAACAAAGGTGAAATAGCAGTTTCACCCCTCTCCAGCCGGAGAGGGCGAGACAGAGTTACAGTCAGATCTGACGGAATTTAATTTATAAGCATGAAAAACCAAAAAGCACGCAAAAATCATCGCTCCTCTGTTTTATAGGATAATTAAACTGTGTGAAGAGGCCAGTCATATTGCCTTCCTTGCGTATTCTTACGCCTCATCAAATTATTTATTACTCATAGAAAATCGTTTAATCCTTCCTTATATGGAAGTGAAAGATCTTAAAATAACTTCTCTTNTAATTTTTTGAGACAAAGCTTACCCAAGCCAAAATTCTCAAAATATATAAAAACGAAATTTCACGAAGAAATAGGTTGAATTATTTGGGATTACCCATTTCAGGGTATTAAATTGTTTATATGATTCATTTTAATGTAGAATTGATTTTATATATATAATTGATTTTAATGTAATATTTGGAATAACACATTTCAAGCTATTAAATTGTTTATGTGATTGATTTAAATAAATAATTGATTTTAATAAATAAAATAGTTCAAAGCAGTTATGAAGTAAATAAAACTTAAGAAAATTTTCCTAAACTTCATTCAGCTAACGAGTCTTAACTCTTTAATTCTATTCGAAAAAGCTAAGTTTTTGAAGATGAAAAAATAGAAAATTATGTCATAATACAAATATATTTTTTTTTCTTCTTCTTTTTTTCAGCTTTTGAAGGTTTTTTTCTAAAGAAATACAGGGAAAAAGATGAAATACTAAAACAACTTCCAACCGTAACTTTTCTAGAGAGAGGAAAGTAATTTATTTTTGAAACGTTCTTACAAACGTAAGTTAAGTCATTCCCATAACCTAACGTCAAAACTTAGAACGAAATAATTTTTGGAATAAGTTGGGACCTAAGTTAAAGACCAGCTCGAATTTTTTTTTCAAAAATAAATTCCTCCAGCAATTATTTGTCTAAAACACTGAAAAAAAAATCAATTTAAACAGAATTAAAATTTCAAAAACAACTAAATCTAAAAAAAATAGTTACGAATTCATATTTTATTATTTTTGGAAAAATAAAAAATAAAGTATTAATGTTTTTTTGCACCAAAAACTTTAATGGAAATTAATAAAAAACGTGAATAGATTCTAATAAAAACCAATTGGATTTAAAATAGGTTTTAATTGATACAAAAATTAAAAACTGTTATGCTAATGACAAAGAAAATGAAATTTTTTGGAAAGAAAAAAAGCTTCAGTTCAGTTACTGTAAACGTTTTGGGTGTTAAAACTCGCTACATTTGATTGTTTACTTTTTATTTATTCATTTACTTTTATCAATTTTGGTTTATAAAAGTTTTAAATCAAAATGAAATACTTTTAAATAAAAAAAAATCAAACAATCAAATATTAATTCCACTTAAAGAAATTTATTACATAGACTGCAAATATTAAATAAGCCTAACACCTATGCGTGAAAAAAATCATCAATTTAAAAAGATAAATCAATTTATTTAAGATAAGTCTACGATTTAATTTACTTTAATCTATTTCAATTTGAAATAGTTACTGTATTGGAATACAGTAACTATTTTTAATACTGGAAAATTTTAACTCTGGAAAATACAAACTCTGGAAAATATAAACTCTGGAAAATATAAACTCTGGAAAATATAAACTCTGGAAATTTTAACTCTGGAAAATATAAACTCTGGAAATTTTAACTCTGGAAATTTTAACTCTGGAAATTTTAACTCTGGAAATTTTAACTCTGGAAATTTTAACTCTGGAAAATTTAACTCTGGAAATCTTAGCTCTGAAAAATATAACTCTGGAAAATTTTTGTTTTAGAGCATTTTTGTGAAAAATAAATGAAATATCGTCGTCAAATAGATAGAACATGTCTAATCAAATTCAGTACGCCTGATTCAATATAATCAATTTAACCATTTATGAATTATATTTTCCTCTTCTTGGTCGGTTCTTATTTCATCTCAAAAATTACCTAATATCACAGAGATTTTAAACATATTTACCAGTACAGCTAACTTATCTAGAAAATAGTACTATTTTCCTTTAAGCTAAAAAGTCCGTTTAAGAAAAGGGCCTTAACTTTTTAAATTTGTTTGAATCTAGCAAAAGCTGATACTTAGCATTCACTGATGGAACAAACATAAGCATTATTATTTTTGACTTTTAATTTCCACTAAATTCTTATTTCCCTTGATGTCACTTTCATAATACGCCTATTTGGTTTGAATTATTTTATTACAAATTTTTAAACAATTGATTTAGTTGTTCAGAAAGTTTTTTTCTTCTTCTTTTTTTAAGAAAATGTTAAACAATTTTCTTATATAGTAAATAAATATTTTAATGAATCTTTCTGGCTGTAGCATGATTCCATGCTCATAAAATTTTTGTTCTTTGCTAGCTAAACACTAATGCAGGTAATCGTCTAAAAAATAGTAGCGACCCGAACTTTGCAGTAAACAACTCGTATCTTGTCCCCAGTGATGATGTGCGTCAAAAATGGATAATTTTCTTGACCTTTGAGAAAAGCGCAAACGACAACACGACGGGCTAAATTTCCTTCCGTAAGAACATGAGGAACACTAACGTCGAGCTTTGATATTAAATTCAAATTATCATGAATGGTCGAACTCGATAAATTTTATCTCTCAGCGACCTCATGAATTCGATTTGCATCAATTATTGCCTTTAATGTGTCTCATCAGTTTCAGATGGCGTGGTGCATCTCAATTGCAAGATCGTAATTTTCAAAGCTAATTTTGGCACTAGCGTACTGTTAATACATCTTCTTCGTACACATCGGATAATTTTTTTTTCTTGCATGAACAGCATTTTTACCCTTCCGGCAGTAAAAAAGTAAAAGATGCCGAAATTGCTACTTTTCACTTTCCCTATTTGAAAGGGCAACAACCAAAAACTGTTGTATAGTATCTTCAGTCGAACTTTTTCACACGCAAACCTTTGCTATATCAGCTGTTATAATATATAAGTGTGAAGTTTGCTCTGAAGAAATATAATTAAGTCCTCAGTAAGTAAAAAACGAAATTACTTTCATAACAACCCAATACGAAAATCATTACAAATTTCTAATACGCATCCAATTTTCCTTGCGATTAAAATCGTTATTAAAAAAAACTGTCAGTGCGTTTTGCGAAATTAAAATCTAACACGTAATATGAGTATTTTGTGGTAATGGTAATACAAAGAAAGGTGCTTTATTAATTTATATAATTAAGTACTTTATTAATTTATATTTCGTTTTTATTTTTGTATCATTTTCTGTTGAATTAAAATTAAGTTAAATTGTAATAAATAGCATATTAAACTTTTTCAGTACACTTTAATACTATCAACAACTGGAAAATTGTACAGCATTAAATAAATTCTTAACCAGTAATCATAATATTCGAGACTTTAAATATATGGAAATTATTGTCACCAAAATAAAGTCGAAAATACTATGTATGTAACTAACTATATAAACTGCAACTTTAAAAACAATTTGTACGTAACTGAGCGCAAGTTTTGATATTGCTTTTAAGTAATTACTAAATTATTTTCTTTCTTTCTTTTTCAATAATATAGCCTGTTACTAACAATAGATGTCAGATAATATAAATTATAATCATTAAAATGAAATAAAATGAAAAATAATAAAATGGTATAGTTAGAATTATATTATGATTTATATTAAATGAGGTATTAATTGCTGAATTATCATATCGAGACAATTTTATTTTTTAGAATTTTTTCAAAATTCAATAATCGTTAAAATTCTTCAAATACAACTTATCCCTTAACTACTTACTATTTATCACTATAATTAATATTGTTATTTATTTTTTTATATTGTATTATTATTCATTTTTTACGACATTTATCAAGTTTGAAAACTTGAATCACTGTAAAAACTTCATATTGCTAACAAAAATCACTTTCCTTTTTCTCCGATATTCTCTGTATTTAACAATTTCTTCACTGAACGGACAATTACAAAAACAAATAAGCATTAATATCAAGCAATGGCAATAATGAATTAAAACCGTGGCGCAATTAATAACAGTAGATTGAATATAAGAAAATTTACGTCATTAAAAAAAAACGATAATATTGGAACACTAAATTGCTCTTAATAATTTGATCCCTCTCTAAAATGGGTAATTAAAAAAAAAAGGAAGAAAGCATTTTACAGCTAATTATTTAACTACATTTCCTATAGGTGCACTTAAAATTATAAAAATTACTAACTCATTACCCAAATTATTACTTCATTATTGTCAAGTAATGAAAATAAATTAATTTGGTGTAACTAATAACTATTAGCCTACATAGTATTAAATGACTTAAATCACTTGAAAAATAAGGAGATTGATAATTTTTTTTAAAAAAATTATTAATTTGAATTATTTCTTTACACGAAAAATAAATTAAGAAAAGAAAAATTTTGCAATTATCTAAACTACAGATTCAATAGTTAAGTTAACTATTATCGAAACAAATAAATATTAAAATCGTGAAAAGTGATAATGAATTGTTAAAATGATGCAATTAATAAAAGTTCTCTTACATCGAACGTAATATAACTTAAGTCATTTTATAATCAAGAACATATATTATTTATTTAAATGATTTCACTCCAAAAAACAGTTAAGTCAGGCAGAAATAAGAAATATTTTAACAGTAATCATAACTACAGTTCCAATAAGGAAAAGTCTAGAAACAACAATGTCACGTGTTCCACTATTCCATTACGCAAATTTAAGAACAAACATTAAATGCCTCATTTGACAGGTAATATAATCAGTGTGCGACAAAAAAAAGAAGAGCAACTTAATGGAAAAAAACTAAAATGAATTGATTTCTCACCTCGAACATAAAATCCGTGGCGGCAGCATGGTTATTGAAAGTGGAATGAGCAGAAAAAGGACGGGTCAAGCCAAAAAGGAGACCCCACGTGAAAAAACTTTTTCCTTCCCTTCTTGGACCAAGGTCACGAACTGAGAAGATGTCTTTTTACCTCCCGGCATCATTTTCTATTTGGCAGGATCATACAAAACGCCGGTCCGCCAAGCTATCGCGCCAAGGCGGGAGTTACGGTATTCTAAAACTTTTCTTCATTTTCTTTTTCGTTCTTCAAAGATGGTTTATCTTCGGTTTTCTTTCTTTTTGCTCCAGTTGCTGCACCGGATCGGATTCGTTTGAAGTCGGCACAGCGAAAGTAGAAAAACTTGGATAATTTATTTTATTTATTTTTTATTTATATGCATTATTATAGAGACAAACTTGTATATTTTCTCGTGATTTATTTTTTAAAAAAATATTTCACTTTGTTTAAAAAAAAAACCTCTAGCATAAATATGAAAGAACACTTATTCAACGAAAAATAAGCTGTTTTATAATTGTTGTGAGTTTATAACAGTTAATCATGATTGTTAAGTAATTTTATGTGAGTAATTTTTAATTTAAGAAATTGAGTTTAATTTTCAATTTAAGTAATTTTAGCCAGCATCTTCGAGGGTTATTGCGAAAATGACGTAAATTTGTCAACATGACTTGAATATAAGCTGCAGTTTAGTGAAAAGAGTTATGGTGCAATGTTTTAAGATTTGAAAATTTACCCCCGACGTTTCATTGCCTGGATTAAAAAATATGCAAAAATTGCAATTTATTCATTAATTTTAATAATTTTAACCTAAGAGAAAAATTTCTCCAAATCTGTTATTTTTATAAAAAAATTTCAATATATTTCAAAACATTTAAGGTATTAGTCTGTTTTATGGTTCAGACAATTCCTCTAAGTAAGCATATATAGCTTAAAATTAAAATTTTATTTCGAGTTAAAGGAACCTAATATGTGACCTTTTATTCTTCTTCTAATGAAAGTGCTTTGAAAAACGTCCTTAAACCTTAACTTCCCGAAATAATTAAAACCCTATATAATTAATTTAATTTTAAAAAATTAACAGTCTCTTTAAAGAAATTGGCGCAATAATTACTACGCATATTTTACATTAACTTTCAAAATTTATGAAAATTTGTTCTGTTTAATAATTTGCTATCCAAGGTTAGTAATAAATTCAGTTACACTTTTCACGAACTACTATTGTTTCACGAACTATTGTTTCACGAACTACTATTGTTACCAAACTACTGTTGTTTTACTATGAACAGTATAAGAAGCGTGCAAAAAATTCACTCAAATCTCTCACAAATTACGAACTATTGCTGTCCTAGAATTTGCTAACCAAATAATTATATTCGTCCAATTCCTTTGTAATTTAATTACTACCGTACACTTTTTAACTCGAGAAATAATATTTATCCAATCTGTTCACAATTTATAAACTATTGCTGCCGTAGAATTTATAACTAGAGAACTAAATTTATTCAGCTCTTTTATAACTTACAAACTATTGCTGCTGTACAATTTAAGACCTAAGAATTGAATTAAGAAATTTTTTTGCAACTCACAAATTATTGCTGCCATACCATTAAATCCATAAAAGTGTGTAGAATATTTGATTCATTATATATAACTCGGAGACAAAAGTACTTTTGTCTCAAGTATCGGGATCAGGGCAAATTGGCTTTTCAAGGACTTTAAATCTGCAATGGGATACCTGCAAGTCAGGGCTAAAGAGAATAGAAGGGCTGGTTCACTCCTTTGAAGTATCTCTCGCCGCTCCGATCCTCCGACGTCACTCTAGTGACGTCACTTTGGCGCAAAGCTCGCACTTTTACTTCAAGAACGGAGCGTTTGGCCTTACTAGCTCTAACTAATATTGGATCATTTCTTTTTGCGAGATATTCTAAGACATTTGTTAT